CTCGCACGCAGCGGTGTTCCGCGCCCGCGAGCCGAGCCCTAGTAATAAGACATACGTAATCAACTTGTGATTCCTCAAAGTTACAAAATTAAATTTTCAAGGAGGGGGAAGACAGACGATTTCTTAATAAGTAAAACAGAAAATATTTACTCTGTCTTCATTCACTCTTGTTTTCTGTACCAATTCATTGTACCTAATTTTTTGTCATGTTCTGAGTCCATCTATAAATATGCAGCCGTAACTTGTGAGGCAGGAAGAGAACGGGAAGAAAGGAGAGAGCGGGATTATTGTCCCTACTGTCTCTCTAGACAATATGTTATACATGTCTTATTAATATATTAAACTCCCTCTATTATTCAATACGCTCTGCACGTGTTACGCGCCTTAAACAATTTCATAAAATCTCGCATTTCCTCTATATACATTCACAGTTATATGTTCTTCAAACATTTTACAAGCGTGCGGATTTCTCACAAAAGTTGCTACGAAGTTTCGCTCGAATCGGAAGAATCGTAATAACTTTTTGTTTGAAATGTTAACATTTTTCTTACCGTAGGTGTAACGTACGTTTTGCCCTGCACAAGAACTAGTGAATTCTTAGATTTATCCGAAATGTTTCTCTTCTTCGTTAAACTTGTTTCCCCAAGGAAAGTATTTGAAAACATTTTTTCTTGCACGTGTTGCGCCTTACATATGTTTCGTACACCGGTTATAGGAGAAGAGGAAGAGGAAGACGCATCTTTTCTTGTATTACTGATTCTTGACTTGATGCCGCCATTGGATACTTGATTAGCTATTCGTTGGTTCGCTTTAGCTTCTTTGTCGATTGTTCCATCGTGTATCCGATTGTGCTTTTCACGAGAAGAATCCAATGAACTGAAATGCCTCTTGCTATACTTGTTCGCAATAGAATCGGCACGATCGCGATATCGCAATCTATTGCGAACAGAAGAACTTTTTGACGCTTTACGAGTAGATAAAGTGTAACTGTTGCTTCTTTCAGAATCTGAAGAGTCGAATGTTTTCGTTTGGAAAAACGTAACAGAGGCACGCGATCTAGCCTCGCGACCTATCCCATTCTTCTCTATCGCTCCATTTGAACGTTCTTTACTGTTGTAACCTTTGTCTTTCTTACTATTCAAAAACGACATTCCTTTTTTAATCCTACGTTTATTTGAATGATCAGCAGCACTATCATTGTCATCCTCATTTGAGACAAGCACAAAGCTATCATTTTTACGGGTCTCAAAGGAGTCAATTGGTACACACTGCGTACTGTTGAAAGATTTCTTCATTTTTATCGATTCAACATCTCTTTGTTCAATCTTTTCCGACAAACGAATTGTATTCGAGTCCCTACCAAAGCGATCTTTGCTTTCATCGCTAATAACCAACTTGGTACGATCGCAGAAATTGCTCTCAACGATACGTGGTACGCCTGCTAATATATCGCCGTCCTTTGATACTTTTGACCTTTTTCTGGGATGTTGTATCGATCGAACAAAATCATCTTCGTCCGACTTAAACATTAAAACGGAACATTTATCCTGGCTCGCTTTACTGCGATTTTTATGTCGAAATGTTTTCTGCTGAAATGTTGAATCTTGACTTGGTCTCTCTGCGACAATGTCGGATGTATCACCTACTTTATCATCCTCCTTGGATTTGGTGCTCACTCTCAATGAATAATGATTACGAATTGGACCAACTACTTTTCTAATATAAGATTTCAGTCTATCATTAGATTGCGGACTCACATTCTCGCACGGCGAAATCTTGTCACTGGGAAAAGTATTCGTATCTGCGACATCGCTGAGCTTCTCACGATATAGATTTGCAGGTAATCGCTCCAATACAATTCTGACTTGCCCAAGTTTCCAATCAACTTGCTTATTTGCTCCATACGGGTTAGAAAACTGCTCTTTAGACTGATTTAACATCCCTTTTTGCGAAATAGTATCATTTTGATCCAAGGCTGGCATTTTCATTATTGTACTTGTACAATTCTTGGATAATGGCAATCGTTTCAATACAACTTTAATATCTCGCAGCTTCACATCATCTGCCTTGTTTTTCTTGTTGTATAAATGAGAATATGTTTTAGATTTAGTTGGCGTTAGATTTTGCCAGTATCGCGATTTCACTGTTGCATCTGTATAACCTTTCGTTAACGATCGCGTTCTCTTGACAACCTTCAGCCCTTGGCGTAATTCCTTATTCTCGCTCATGCCGGACAGTTTGTCATCTTTCCTTCCGTTCCTCTCTGCCTGCAAAGCAGAGAAGTCATCTTCGACGTTGAACCTCGAATCGAGAGAGCAGTTACAAAATGAAGAGAGATGCTGCGAGTCATTTGCGCTGTTACATTTGAAAATAAGAATGGTACTGTCATCGCTATCTCTCGTTTCTACTTCCAGATTTTCAATCTGTGAGGAATATGACCCGTCATTAAGTGCCCTCTTTTCTTGCTCAATGTGCCGCTGGGTACTGTCGCTCGTAGACTTAATCTTGTGTCGTTGAAAAGGAGGCTCAATCCTCTCTAAAAGTACAATTGGCTTTAGATTCTGTTTACATCTCTCACTTTGAATTGCCGAAGCGTTTGTGCCATCGTCGCATTCCCGAGACAGAACGATGTCTCGCCGTTTATCCGAATTATCGTGCAAGTCCGATAAAGACTTAAAAGAACCGTCAATATTGGAATCTTGAATCTTGTCATCTGTGCGGTCTGTGCGGTCGTCATTAATTTCTGTAATGGTAATTTTATTGGAAGGACAGGGAGAGGCAGAGGTACAAGGTTCTCTTTTCTCTTTTCTTTTCACTGTCCTGAAATTGAGGTTCCTTTTAACAAAAAGAGACTGTTTATTTTTACCTTTGTGAGCCAATGGTGTTTTTCCCTCAATCGCACTATCTAATGGATCCAAGGCAGGATGTAAACTTTCTCTTGCTCCAGATAATCTATTTGTAGCACGTGATTCGGTTAGCATCAGGTCTACAGGGGAATCCCGGCCTGTGTACAATTTCTTACGATGAAAAGCTGTCAGACTCGCATCTGTCGCAACAATTTCACGCGCTACGTTCTCCGATATCTGACTATCGTGAAAGGTATCCATTTCCACAGCCTTGTTCTGATTTGAAACGTCATTGTTCTTGTCATTGCCAGCCAATCGTTTTAACGTTTTATCAAATTGTCGAAAAATTAGTTCGATGTCGCCTATAGTTGGTACATCCGAGTTCCTTTTACTGATACTCGACTCGTCTATTTTATCAGTTTTCTCGCAAGATAACCCATGCGAATAAATGTTGGATTGCGCCGCATTAGCAGACACCAGGACGTTGTCACACGTTTCCGATGCCGTATACTCTGTTATGGTCGACACTTGAGACAAATTGGTGTTTTGGACATCAATGTCAACATCACCATTATTAGAATCGTTAACGATCCTCTTATCGTTAGACGAGGCTGCTTTAATCTCGAGGCATTTTGCACCTTCTGTAATAGCTATAGTGTCCGCTTTCTTTGTGACATTTGCGTTTGATAGAATATAAACTGCGGTATCTACAGAGCTGCAGGACGAGTCATTTTCATGTTTCCGCTTAGTATCTATCATAATTCCTGCACCCGAGACCAGAGACGTTAACGAAGGTATAGATTCTTTCTCGCTTAGAGACGAGCCGGCCTCGGACGACTCATTCTCGTCCAACTGCGCCATATACGGTGGATTACCAGTATCGATCCAATATTGTACCAAAGTAGCTGGTTTACGCATAGGTATTCGCTGTCCACAACTAAAGTCTTGCTCCCTAATTGCATTCTCCTCCTCCTCCTCCTCCTCCTCCTCCTCTTCCTCCTCCTCTTCGGGCTCGAGAGTGTCAACATTTATTTCTATATCGTCAGACGTCTAAAAGTAAAGCGTGAAACATTTGTGCAACTAATATTACAAGAGTTTGCAAATATTTGATATTAAGGAAATACCTCCTCGGAATATCTAGTAAACAAATTGTTCCAAGTTTTCTCCCGAGCCTCCAACAGTTGTTCTGGTATTTGAAAATTACAAGTACTATCTCTCGTCCCCGTAATTCTAAATATACAATATCCGTTAGAAATAATAAGCTGTAGATTAAAGAGGCGTACGTTAACTGTCGACTTACCTCTCGATACCTTGGGAATAAGATTGCGAAAGGTCATTATTGTTTTCCTTCACTATGCAATTTTCCATGAGTTGTCTCACTGCGTAACAAGCGAGTCAAGAGTAACTTACATATATGTAAGATTAGTAAACAAATAACTCGGCATGCGCGAGCTATGGAAGAATACAGGGTTATAACAGGGTTATACCAGGGTGTGTAAATACTATGACCATGAAAACTACGTGTGTTTAGAACTAGACCCGCGAAAAAGTTTCACGCAACTAGTTGATACTAGAGACACTATAATCAGAGATGCGACACCAGGGATCATCTTCTGATTGGTCAGCCATGTTTATGCTATTGCCGCTGATTTTCAAATACATGAATTATAAGGCTTGTTTTCAGTTCCTATACTGGTGAACTAGAGTCCCTGTAGTAAGAGTCTGGCAAGAAATATTCTCCGTTTGATTGGTTTGACGCAAAATGGCGGAACGAATAAGGTGTCTCGAATCTGTACTCTGAACGCGGGATTATGATTATTATTATTATTTGGTTACCTTTGGTCTGTTCGTTATCGCTGCATTACTGCACTAGTGCAATTAACTAACTGCACTAGTGCAGTAATGCCGCGATAACGAACAGACCAGACGCCATTTTGCGTCAACCCTTGTCAGACTCTTACTACAGGGACTCTATGGTGAACTAGTGTAATAAATTAGAGTAAGACAAGAATATTTTTCTCATTCTAGCTTACTGCACTAGTTCACCAGTGCAGGAACAGAAAACAAAGCTATATTAATGACGAATAAATTACATAAGGCTCTGATATGAAAAGTACAAGTACGGAAAAAGGGAGGCCTAATAAGAGCACATTTCCGAACTAAAGCATACCTATGATAAAAACAATTTTTATTTTATAGTTTAATAATAATTATTGCATAAAAATAGTTTTACCTCGCAGAGATAAGAATGATCCGTTGGTATCCAATTGTCACGACCCATATTTCATACCCATACAGCTCGACGTTCTGCATTTTTGGGGAAAATTCTCATTGTATATCCTTTTTTGGAGGAATTATTGCAAAATTGGTACGAACATCCGCCCATTTTGCATTCAGTAAAGCCCGCTGCAGACGATGCTATTTTTCCTGCTGGATTGCTTGCAATTTAGTAAATTACTATCATTGCACCACTCAGCATTCAGGATTCCTAGTAATTTACTAAATTGCAAGCAATCCAGCAGGAAAAATAGCATCGTCTGCAGCGGGCTTAAGTCACTTAATAAATGTATCCTTAATCTGTCGTGATTTTGGATGTGTTGGAAAATGGATTTAGTTACTGCCAGTGAAAACAGTATAGTTGGTAGCAATGAAAATTACTGG